TTCCTTGTCCCCTAACTGCCCCCTCCTAAGACCCCCCCAACTGCCCCCCAGGACCCTACCCCCTACCTGTACCCTGACTGCCCAAAACCTTATCCACACCCCCCCAGAAAGCCCCACCCGAACTCCCGACCTCCCCCCGGCTCCCTGTCTCTTGACTGCCCCCTCCAGAACCTCCCTGCCCCTTCTCCGACCCCCTGGCCCCCTTACCCTGCTCAGTACAGCGTGCCGGGGAGGAGGAGCAGGGGGAGGAGCTCCAGACTGCCGGTGCGAACGGCCGGCTGGTGATCTGCGAATGCGGGGAGGGAGGGAGGGAGGGAGGGAGTGCTCTCAGCTGCAGGGGAGAGGAGGAGGGGTCTCTCCGGCTGTCGGAGCCCCATGTAAATGGCACCATCCGGCCGGTTGCCCTGTTAGCCGCGCACGCTCTGCATGGGGGGGGGAGTCCAGACATTTACAAATTCCCCCCGGACGCTATTTTTAACTCTAAAAGCCGGACATGTCCGGGGGAATCCGGACGAATGGTAACCCTAACCTGTGGGGGTGGACAAAGGAGCACTACAGGGGGGCCGGGTGGCTCAGAGGGCAGTTCAACTGCCCAGGTGCCCCGTTCACTGGGGAAACTGAGGCTCAGCCCCCAGGGCAGCAGAATGCAGCCTCCCCTGAGGGGTCCAGCCCCAGGGAGGCCCCAGAGCCGCGGTACCTGGGAGACGGCCAGAGGGGGGCTGGACCAGACCTGCCGGATGGGGGGCGTTGGGGGCTCTGCTCCCAGGGCAGCACCTGCTGCTGGTTTCCCGTCCGAGCCACCGGAGTGACTCTCCCCTTCCCCCAGCAGCAGCCCCCTCGGGGCGCCCAGATTTCACCCGCACCAACATCACCCGCCTGGCGCTGAGCGCTGTGATCCTGCTCGTCGTGGGGCTGATCTTGGCTGAGGCCTATTACAGCCGCCCGAGGGGAGCACCTAGGTGAGATGACCCCCCCCTTCTGTGCCCCTTGCTCCCCTCAGGGCCTGGGTGCAGGGCGACACGGGCCCCTCTAACCTGCTGTCTCTCTGCACCCCCAGGAACCTGGATCTGGACGTATGGAGGAGAGCCGCTTCCCCGTGGAGGACTGAGACGGCAGTACAAATCCCCCACCCCCAAACACCCCTGCCTCGGAGAATCCTGCCCCCAGACTGCTCCCAACCCAACTGCTGCAGCCCAGGATTGGACCCCAGACTTCTGGCCCCACGGTCTCCAGTCACTGTGGCACCAGCTAGAGGAGCTCCCCCAGCGCTGGGCGCGTCGGGCTCCCCACGGAGCAGCCCCTGGTGAGTGTCGGGGTCCCATTCGCTGCCCCAGCCGGTCCGGTCTTTGCCTGGGGCTGTCAGTGGGGAGCGGGGAGGCTGCGTCTGACCCTGGGGCTGGAATAATGACACTTAGTGCCCCCCAGGTGTCTGTCCCCCTCCTCTCTCTGCAGCGGGTCCCCCAGCCCCTTTTCTCTCCCCGCTTTCTCCCCAGGCCTCCCCCCATCCTGTATTTCTATTGTACAACCCCCCAGAACTTCCTTCTCCCCTGCCCCCAAATCTCCCCACCCCAGTGGGTGGCTGTGATATCGGAGCCTCCAAATGTCCCCTCATGGGGGGTTCAGCCGACGAAGGTGAGTGAGAAGTTCTGGCAGCGTCATGAGAACCCGGACGAATGAACGTTGGGGGAAAGTTGGCGAGACAGAAAGACGGGATTAGTCCAACCCGAGTGGCCACCGCACAGAACCCACGGGCCGGGCTGGGGCCCGCCTGGGACACGGGAGAAGTGGGGGAGTAGAAATCCGTGACCCAAAATTGGGGTGTTGGAAACGAGACCTCATTGGTGGATAAATCCTGTTAGGGAGGGGCTGTGCCACCCACCACCACTTTTAGGGGCACTCCGCTGGCTCCTTTGCCCCCCCCCCAAGGTAGTCGCTAGCGTCTCCGGGGCCAGTGGCGAGACGGCCAAACCCGGGGGATTTTCCGGCTAGAGACTCGCTCCAGTGAACGGGGCCGGGGCTGGAACAAACCCCTCGTTTCACACAGTGCCTACCACAGCTCCCCTGGTTCCTGCTCTGCTGTGTCTGTAACAGCCGGTCCCAGGGGTCAATGGGGGGTTTGCCGTGGGGCTGAGCAGGCTGCAGGCTCTGGACCCCACCCCCAGCTCCTGTTTAACCCTGTTCAGTGTGGGGCAGGGGCTGGGGCGTGTTCGCACCTCCGGCCCTTTACCGCATCTCCATGAACACAACAGGGCGCAGAGTGATTTAACCGCCAGCGCTTCTGGGCCCCCCCATGGCGGGTGTGTGGGGGGAGCCGGCTGAGGGGAGCCGGGGTTTGAGGAAAGTAGGTTGGGGGTGTCGGGAGGGGGGACTGGCGTTTGAGGGCAGACAGGTTCCCCCCAGGTCAGAACCGGGGGGCAGGATTGTCGGGGGGCATCAGAGGGGGGAGCCAGTACTCCCGAGTGCCCCCTGGGCTGCCACTTCTACCCCCAGCAGCCTCCCCTCTCACTGCCCCCCTCACCCCTCCCCTCAGCTCCAGCCCCCTCCGCCCCAGGGTCGCCCATTTTATTTTCTGTCTCTGAGTCCTCAGTCTGCCCTCCACAGCTCCCCTGCCCCACATTCCCT